TGGTCGTGTTTGCTGGTGTCTTTCTGCGTGTTCAGGTTCCGGGTTACCGGCACGCAGAGGCCGCAGGCAGCGGGATGCCTGTCGCAGCCTCCGCTTTTGTTCGTGTGGCTTGGCATGTCCGTGTGCACCTGCTTGTGGTCTGCCCGGGTCACTTGTTCCGGAACTGTCTGTTGCAGGCGCCGTGTGTGTCTTTAGATTTAAGTAAATTGAGTTCAGGTCTGTCTTACCTCCCAGCCTTGCCTCCATACTCTCATTTTCCATTTCCCATCTTCATGCCGTGATGGCTTCTGGCGCGTCTCCTCGAATCGTTCTTAGAAAGGTCGTGGCTCTACCAGCGATTGTTTTCCTAGTTGTCAATAACGGGCATAAACATTCCATGTCTTGCTCTTTCTGCTTCAGAAAGAGCATGCCCCTCTTTTGCAGGGACGGGGAGGAGCGAGCTGCTGTGTCTCTGCTGTGTCTCTTCCGCCCTGGGGTTTGGTGTCAGTAAATCACCACTTTTAAAAAACATTGTGTCTCTCCGTTTGTGGATTGTATATTACTTGTATCTTGCTGGGAAACATTTGTATCCTTACGATGATGACTCTGCTGAGTACTGTGAGGCCCAGGACAAACAACTTCTCTTTAAGCCTCAGTTTCCTCATCTGTAAAATGGGGATAATTGTGGCCATGGCAAGGATGTGATGATGTAGAACACGCAACGTGCTCAGAATGGCGTGGTCCTTCCGTAGACCCTGCGTGCTCTGTGATTTCCTCGAGGACATGTGGTCGCTGTCTTCATAGTCTTCTGTGTCCTGGGACAAATCGTTTAGTCCCCAGACCTCGCCCACCCTTCCTGTCGTGTGTGTTTGCCTCGTATGTCTGTTGCCTGCAGAGAGGTCACAGGTTTTGGGGGCAACCTTGGGTGCTGCCTGGGTATCCTTAGACACCTACAGGGGCAGCTGGGGGTGTCTCTGTTGTCACCGTGGTCACTGATGTGAGATTTGCAGCAGAAGGGGGAGCCCGTTTTTCTGTGAATTATTATTTGCGTGTTTGTTGGACCCTCGCTCTCAGGGCCGGCTCTGATCACCAGGAAAGCGCCCGGGGCTTGGGGCTGCCCCTCTGGGGTCAAGGGAGAGGTTGGGTTCAGAGGAGCCCCTGGTTTCTGCTGGAGGAGGAGGCTGCCGTGTGGCCCGCACAGCCTCACGGGTGCTCCGCCCAAGGTACGTCCCGCCACTTCCAGGCCTCCACTCACTTTCTCTGCTCACCACGGGTGGGCTGCGGGCCCCGCTCTCCTGCGCCCCAGATGCCAGGGGCGGATATAGGAGGGTTTCCCAGGATGCCCCCAGCCCCCACAAGGAAGGGCTCTGAGCTACTCGGGCGACACTTTCCTCCCCACATCCGATCCTCTGCAGGACGCTGGGAGCGTCTTAGCCGGACCCTGCGGCCGCTGCCTGCCCTGGGAGTCTCAGGTTCCAGATTCTGCAGACCGGAAAAGCAACAGAAAGATGAAAGGGGCAGAAGTTAGTGAGTCTGGGCGGAGGGCACGTTCTTCCTCCCTGCAGCCCTTCCCTCCATTTGGGCTTCTATAAAAATTGAAATCTGCCCGTCCCCCAAACCAGCGTCTGATCTCGCCCCTCGAGAGCCCCAGGTGACTAGAAGTGGGTCGGAGAAGCGTCACGGGCTGCGGGGCAGCAGGGCAGGTCGGTTTCGCCAAGATTTTAATTATAAGGAGGAAGAAAGGAGGGAGAGCTGGCGGGCCCAGGGGTCTCCTGGCCCACGCATGCTGGGGGTGGCCCCGAGCGGGTCTGAGTGGAGCAGAATGTGAGTGAGCGCCACCTGGGCGCTTGTCGCTGTTTTATTTTGTTAGGTGTGATTGTGGTTGGTAGTGGTTGGGGTTATTGTTCGTAGTAGTTCAGTCTTTACCTTTGGGGGCTGCGTTGTCCAGCACAGCAGTCACCAGCCGCAGACAGCTGTCTGCGTTCACACTCGTCACAGTCACATGGAATCAGAAGTTGCTTGTTGGACGGCGCGCGGCTGGAGAACTTTCTGGTCATGCTGGATAGTTAGTTCCGTTGGAGACACAGTCATTTATGAGCAAAATCAAGAAGTGGGACGCAAGTGTTTGTGGGGAGCCCGGGCCGAGATGGGGCAGGGGCGGGCCCGGGCAGGGGTGTGTTGGGAGGACCAGAGAGGGCCCAGGTCAGGGAGGAGTATTGTCTTTATTCCGAGGGCGATGGGAGCCTTGGGAGGCATTGGAGGGAGGGAACACAGCCAGGTTTATCTTCTAAAAGCTGCCGTGCCCAGGTGTCGCTGCGAGGATTAAAGCTGGGGTTCTGATTTGGTGAGGCCACCTGGGGTATGGCGTAGGAGGGGGATGGTTCCCGGGACTCTAGCCTGAGTCCCCAGTGGGGGGGCGCATCACAGAGCTGGGGCTGCATGATGACGGCTCCAGGGGGATCAGAAGCCACACCCCTGCTGTTGTGCCCAAGGGCTTGGGGCAGGGTGGCAAGCACCAGGGTTCTTCCTCCAGGGTTCTGGTGCCCATCATGGCTTCTGAACTCTGGGGCTCAGGCTCTGGCAGTTTCTACGCCAGTCTTCCTGCCTAGCAGTCAGCCCACCCTCGCTGAAAAGGGCCGTGTTGTGACTATCTTGACTGCCACCCAGAGGGTCACTCTCACCACCGCTTGGTTCTGCCAAGGCTGCCGTGGACAGTATGGGAACAGACGGGCATAGCCGTGTGCCAATAAAACTTTATTTACAGAAACAAACGGGGACGGACTCGTCCATGGGCCACCGGGTCCTGCCCAGTACTTAGCACCTGTGGAACCTGCTCCCTCATTCGCAAATGGGCCACAGTCACAGGCGAACCAGAAAGCCGGGGATTGTGAGGGTTTGTTGAGCACAGCGCTCATTGTCATCCTCGAGGCAACCTGGGCAGGTGTGCGGCTGTGCCACTCGGTCGTCTGGAGTTGGAGCTAAAGCCCCAAGGGGTGGCTGTGCCCCCTGCCCAGCACCCTCTGCACGCCCACTTTTGGGCCACTCGGTCCCAGAGTGGGCAGCGTCCTTCCCAGGCACTGCTTCTGAGGACTTCACCTCTAACATGTAATAAAAAAGAAAAAGAAAAATCATAAAAAAAAATTACACTCCGACAGCTACGTCTTATTCTATTAGTACGTTTTAATTAGAACACGAGCAAGGAATGTATTATGAATATTCATGACTGGGTTATTAAAATGCATAATTAATCAGTTGGGGATTTTAATAACTGCATTAACGTGGGGGGAGCCGTCCCTATTTTTGTCATTGCTGGAAGTGGGGAGGCCGAGGGCCGGGTGAGGGGGGTTTCCCGAAGGGGCAGAGGGGGGCTGTTGCCTTTGTCGGGGGCTTGTGGGAGCCAAGGGCTGTGGGACCGGGTGTGCGTCCTTGCTGGGCACCTTGGCTGGCACGGGGCCTCCCCTGGCTCACTCCAGGGCCCTGGCACTGCAGGTGCATTGCAGGTGCCCGTTGGGGTGGGGTTCCCCAGCGCAAGGACGCCCTTGCCTAAGGTAGGGGCTGTGGCCAGCGGGGAGCGGACAGTAGGCAGGTACCTGTTGAGAGAAACTGAGGCCCCGTGGGTACTGGCACTGTGCCCAAGCTCATGTACCCAGCCCCCTCTCCCAGGGCCCAAGTGAGCGTCCAGGATCTTGGGGTGCAGACACCCCAACCCAGCGACAAATGCCGAGCGGCTTCCTGGAGACTATGAGAGCCCCCTGCCCGGCCCCCCATCTGCCAAGGCATCATCCCAACCCCCCACCCTACCCTGTAATCCCGCTGGAAATTTTTGATTAGGAAACAAAAATCTAAATGAGTGGTATGAATATTCATCAGACTGAGAGATTAATATGCATAATTATGCAGATTAGACAGCAATTAAACACCAATTCTCTGGGGGAAATGATTAACACAAAAGCACCAAAATAGAAGGATGCAATTTGGAAGAAGTTTCTGGTGCGGATGAGCAGGGGCGGGGCGAGGGAGCCAGGCTGGGATGCGTGGCCACCCGGTGTGTCCAGCCTGGCTGTGGTGGCAGCCCGAGCTGGCGCCAGCACAGGCGTCAGGCAGGGGCTCCCAGGCCTGGCTCTCGGTCTCAAGACTTGGGCATGGATACGTCAGTCCAGCAAAGTCCGATCTGTCTGTAGCCCCATCTATGGAGGAGGGAAACAGAGGCACAGGGAGTGGCTCGTGGCCCCCATGAAGGGGGACATAGTCCCAGCCCCGGGAAGGGTACAAGCAGGCTCTTCCCAGAGCAGAAGATTCCGGAGTCCTGGGTGGGTGCCCTGAGCGAGACTGTTCCAGGAGATAAGGGCCGCACCCTGCCCCGCCCTCGCGACCAAGGTCCTGGTCCCCACGCTGGTTAACTCCTGCCCTGCCATGGCCTGCCCGCCGCCCAGGCCAGCCCTGCTTCTGTGCGACAGGGATTTGCTTCTCCCTCGCCGGGCCACCAGCCTTGTGCTTGGCGGATGGTCCCTGGCGGCTGCTGCTGCTCTTGCAGCAAAGGGATGGCCCTGTCTCCTGCGTTGGCAGCAGTAGGAAGAGGGAGACTCCAGCTTCCCCAGAGCTCGCAGGGTCAGAAGAGCCTGCACCTGAGGTGGAGACACCTCAGCCCCCTCAGCCTCACATAGGTGCTGGGTCGGAGGCGGGGACCTGAGTCTGGGAGGAGGAGGCTCAGTGTGAGTGTGAGTGCTCTGCCCAGAATGGGCATGATGGCTGGGGCTTTGGCAGGTGGATGGGAGTTTGCCAGCAGAGACAGCTGATGGAAGGGTTATTTGAGCTTACAGGCACCCTGAATCCCAAGGCGTCTGGGGCATTTGCTACTGACTGTGGTGTCGTGTGGGCTGGATGGGGTGAAGCAGGGTGGGAAAGGGCTCCCAGAGCCCCCTGCATCTGGTGAGGCTTCCCCCTAGGCAGTGGGGCCCAAAGCTGGCGTCAGAGCCAGGCAGGGCGAGGGTGACACTAACTCTCTCCTTCCTGCCCTACAGGTCTCGAGGACCGGCCCAGCCCCGGCTCCTGGGGCACCAGTGACCAGAACAGTTCCTCCTTCGACCCCAGCCGGGTGAGGAGGCCCTGCAGGGCCCCAGTCCCTGGGTGTCCTTTTCCTGGGGTGGGGACATGTAGGGAAACTGAGGCCGAGAGGAGGAGGAAAATCAGGTGCCCAGCCCCTGGAAGCAACCGTCATAGAGGGGTTGTCCCGGAGCCCCCAGCACCACTCATCCCCCGTCTCTTCTAGACCTACAGCGAAGGCGCCCACTTCAGTGAGTCCCACGGCAGCCTCTCTTCGTCCACATTCCTGGGACCCGGGCTTGGAGGTGAGTGCCGGTGTGGTGCCACCCCCGTCCCTCTGCCAGGCACAGTCAGTGCACTCGGGGCAGTGGCACCTCCCGAATGTTCGCCCAGAGGGCACACTGGCAGCCGAAGCCTCTGCCCATCCCCTGGGTGCAGGTGGATGCAGCCTTGGCTCCCCGGCATGGCATTCTGTGACTCAGTTTCTCTTCCTGCAATTTGGGGCAGGAAGGTGGTTCCGGACCCACTAGTTGCTTGGGGTTGCTGTGGGGCTCTGGGTGCCTGTGGAGAGGTGGACTTGGGAGCCCTGGAGACTCCAGGGGTCAGGGCCCACCTGCGCCCTTTCATGGCCCTCGTCATGGTAACCGAGAAAGTCAGGACTCAGACGGGCCTGGGATTGAGTCCTGCTCCACCATGACTCCCCTCTCAAGTCTCAGTTTCCCCCCAGGACCGTCCCTGTAGGAGGTAGTGAGGACGTGTGAAGCTCTCCAGGCCCTGCCATGTGCACAGTGCCATCAGTGTCCGTCCTTGTCACTGCTCCAGCCTGTCCTGCACAGCAAGCCAAGGCTCTGAGAGAAATGGCCTGTCCAGAGCCTGTGGCTGGGCTGGGCTGGCCTGAACGGTTGTCCCCTGAGCCCGCCCTCCCCCCAGGTGACCTCTGGAGCTCTCCCCCCCACGTTCGTGTTCCCCTCCTGCAGGAGGCTGGCGCCTGGGAAGGGCTGGTGTCTCAGGGGCTCACCCCCTGGAGAGGGCCCAGGGCAGCTCCCCGTAGTGCCTTGTCTGCTAAAGTCGAGATTGTGCTGCCCCTGAGCGCCCACAGGTTCCGTGCGCGTCTCCGGGGTCTGGGCGGCAGGCGGTGGCCAGCAGCGTTTGTATTCGTGTTCGTGAGAAAACAGTACGCAGCGTGCTCGGGGTTCTGCCGCAGGCACCTTTGAGGTGTGGCTGGGTTCAGGTGCTCTGCTCCTATGCGAACTGTATGGCCCGAAGCACTGTTGGTTGGTGGGGAAGCTGAGGCTGGAGGACTTTGGGGACCTCGGCCTTCGTGCTGGACTCTGAGGGGGCAGCCCCTGGCTGAGGCCCTGGGGGAGGGGGTCATGTGTCACTTTGCCCGTGCTGCGATTTGGCGCACAGTAGATTGGTGGCCTGGGTAGGAAGCGAATTGCGTGCAGGGGGGAGGGGAGGGCACATCTGAGTTTTGTGCCCATTTCCCAGGTGGAGAAGGTGAGGCCTAGCCCTGCCCTGCAGCCTGGGGTGGCCCCTGCACCTGCCGGACACTGGGTTCCCATCTAGCTGTTCCTTCCTCACGGCCTCTTCCTCTCGCTCTTGCTGGCCCCGGGGCTGACTCGGGCGGTTCCCACGGCCAGTTGTCCAGCTGCGTCCGCCTGGGCCCCCATGCCTGGGCTCAGCCCAGGACAGGGCAGGCAGGTGGGAGGTTGGCTCAAGCACCTGGGGATCCTTCTGCCTCCGTTTTCTCACCTGTGTGGTGGGTCCGGAGGCCACTCCTGTAGGGTGTGGCCGGGGGGCTGTGAGCATGGCCTGTCCCCCGCGAGGTCGCTGTGATGACGTGGGAGGGAAGAAACACCAGACTCCAGGAGCATTTGCTCTGGGAGTCTAGTCGAAGTCGTACTTTTAAATCGAAGAAACCAGGAGATTTTTTTTCCTGGTTTGAAAATAACTTAGTTGAGCATCCTGACTCCTCCGGCCAAGTTCAGCGCCCACTTTAAGCCGAAAGGGGATTTAAATGGCTCCGGGACTGAGCAGTCAGGGGAGCCTGCTTCAGGCCAGGCTGGACCCAGGTGTCCTCGCCTCACCAGGGGCCCCGACTGCTGCTTGTCACAGTAGTGGGAATTGTCCCCCGGGAGGTACTTGTTCTTGGCTTGGGGACCATGTGCTCCTTCCTGAACTGCTGCTGGCAGAAGCCCTGGGGCCTGGTGCTGAGCCTGGCAGACACCACATACGCAGGCCACAGGGCCCGACGGATGCCTCATGTGAGCCCTGGGTGTCAGCTCACGACCTTGAACAGAGGAAACTGAGGCTCGGGAAGGGCAGAGGCCACCCTGACCTTAGTGGCCCCAGCTCCTAGGCAGGGGACGTGGTGGTTGCGGGGTGTTTTGCGTTTTGACACAAGACCATCTGGGGACCCCTTTACCAGTGGACGGAGGGACAGGCCCTGTTTTCTGTCTTATGCACTTACTGAATACCTCCTGTATGCAGCCCTGTGCCAGGTGCTGGGTTGACCCCAACAGCCCCTCAGGCTGCTCCTTGGGGTCAGCCCCGAGTGACCTTCCTTCCTCCCCTGCAGGCAAGGGCAGTGAGCGGAGCGCGTACGCCCCCTTCGGGAGAGACACGGGTGTTGGCAGCTTGAGTCAGGTGAGGGATGTGACGCCGTGGCCGTGTACAGATGTGGGACCTACTTGGGGGGGGGGGTGGCAGGCGTGGGTGGTCAGCAACTTGCTGGGGTGATCCAGCTGGTGGGATGTGGCCGGCTCAGCTCCCCGGCCTGCCCCCACGTGTTATTTTTTTGTGTGTTTTAATTTTAAATATGGCATGATTTCCTCCTCTGATCCTCGGGAGCTTTCCCGGCCCGGCCAAGTTCTGTCCACTCCCTGGTAGCAGCTAAAATAGGTCAGGCCCTGGGCCAGGCCAGGCTGGCCGGGTGTGGATGGGAGGGAGAGAGGCAGGCGGGACCCGGGGAGGCCATGGCCCCTGGCCCCACAGCTGCCCCACCCAGGGTCTAGGCTTGGGGGGCCCACATGCAAATGAAGTGGCAGACAAGGAAACTGAGGCAATGTGGCAGCCCAGGTGAAATTCTCACCCTCTCTGGCCCCTGTTGAGAGTCCCGAGGTGTGGGGGCAGCACCCGGCCACAGTGTCCCCAGCATGGGCTTCCGTTCTGGGCGGCCGCAGGCACTGTCCCGTCTGTGCTGGAGACACAATAGCAGCAACTGCAGCTATTGAGCACCAACTGGGTACCAGGCCCTGTGCTGAGGGTAGAACTCACTCCCTCCTGGGCCAGGGAACAGCCAGCGTGCCTGTGGCACAAATGAGAAGGTCAGGACATGCAGGTCTTCAGAGCAGATGGGCGCCCATGCCGGTCGTCCATGCTGGGAATGCGGCAGGGCACAGACCACGCAGCTCAGACACTCCAGCCAGCATGTGGGACCTGGTGGGGGGGCGATCCCTGGGAGTAGAGCCCGTGTGAGACCAACAGGGACAGAATTAACCCTTCAGCTGTAACAAAGCAAAAACGCACCCACCAGGTCCAAAGGACCAGATTCTCTTGACACTAAGACACACGATTGTGCACATTTAGCATCAATAGTTTTTCTTGGCTGGGCGCGGTGGCTCATGCCTGTAATCCTGGCACTCTGGGAGGCTGAGGTGGGCAGATTGCTCGAGGTCAGGAGTTCGAAACCAGCTGAGCCAAGAGCGAGACCCTGTTTCTGCTATAAATAGAAAGAAATTAATTGGCCAACTAATAATATACATAGAAAAAAGTAGCCGGGCATGGTGGCGCATGCCTGTAGTCGCAGCTACTGGGGAAACTGAGGCAGGAGGATCGCTTGAGCCCAGGAGATTGAGGTTGCTGTGAGCTAGGCTGATGGCACTCACTCTAGCCTGGGCAACAAAGTGAGACTCTGTCTCAAAAAAAAAAAAAAATAGTTTTTCTTTCTCCGACTTTTGTTTATGAAAGTAAGTGGGCGGCTCGAGGCCCACAGTCTTAGGGGATGGCAGGTGTTGGGAAAGAAAGGTGGCAAGCGGGCAGAGGGGACACCCCGTTCCCACTGCACCCCGAGGGTCAGGGCTCCCTGCGGATGGTCTGAGGGGCTCTGGCCTTCCAGCTGGGATTGGCCTGGGCGCTGGACACCTCCTGACCCCTGCCTTCCCCCGCCCCCACGCAGGCCGGCTTCCTGCCAGGTGAGCTGGCTCTTGGCAGCCCCGGGCCGCTGTCCCCGTCGGGCCTCAAGGGCAGCTCCCAGTTCTACTCCTACCCCGGCAACCCCCGGCGGAGAGCCGCGGATGGCAGCCTGGGTGAGTGGTGTCTGGGTGGGGGAGGCTGTGGGAGGAAAGTGGGGCATCCTTAGCCAAGGGAACAGACGGGGCAGACCCCACACTTCACCCCGGATGTCCAGCGCAATGTGGCCCTTGAGGCTTCTCTGCCGCAGGTCCCGTGGCCTCCTTGCCCGCGGGGCGCAAGGCAGTGTCAGCACCGTGCTGGGTCGTTTTTTAAACAGCAACGTCCCTGGCAACATGCACACAAGTGTGGAGAGTGGTGGCTCTGAGCTGCTGAGAGCCTCTGCAAGGCAGGACGAGGGCGCAGCCTCGTTTGGCCTTGCTGGGGACGTGCACATCCACCACTCAGACCTCTCCCTGATCCACGCATGTCCGCAACCCATCCCGGCAGCGCCTGTGGGGTGGGTTTTGGGGTTACCGGTTTTATCAAGTCGGGAAATTTGCAAACACGCATCTGGGATTAGAGAGGACAACTGGCAGGTGGGGGTCCTGGGGGGAGGGGACGGCCGGGGGACTTGGTGCACATACCGTGAGCAGCTTGTTTCTCAGACGCCTCCGTGCTGGGGGAAAATGACTTTTTTGCACTTTTCAGCCTGTGTAGATCTGAGGTTTTTAACAGTTTTATCAAATGGGAAGTTCGAGGGTCTCTTCTCAAGAGCGTGGGGCGGGGGCCGGGGGCAGTGACAGGTGTCCTCAGGGTGGGGGAAGGCAGCACCACGCCAGTTGGTGCGGGGGCACTGGGTGGTGTCGCTCATTCTTCTTGCTCCCAGCAGACACGCAGCCCAAGAAGGTCCGGAAGGTCCCGCCGGGTCTTCCGTCCTCGGTGAGTTGTGGGATGGGAGTAGGGGACCCCATGGTCGAGTGCCTCTCATCCTGAGGCTTAGGCCCACCCCAGGGGTCACCGGCCCCTCCTGGGTTCTGAGCCGGAATCTGCCTCAAGGCCCCAGCTCTGCAGGGCAGGTGGGGAAGTCCTTCCTCAGGTCTGGCCTGCACCTTTCTTGCTCTGAGAGAAAGCTGGGCTCTATGGCTGAGGCCTTCCTGGTTGGGGCGAGGATGGAGCTCCCGGGGGCCAGGGCCAGTCTAAGAGGGGCCCCTGCCCCACTGCCCTGTGTCCTGCCTGTGTCCCCGCCTGCTGCCTGGTAGTTGGCAGGGTGCCAGGCCCAGCAGATGGTGGTGGCCCGTCGGCAGTTCACAGCGCTGCACTCCGAGATGCAACCACGCTGGGAGCACAGGCAGTTTGCTGGTTCCCGGCTCGGCTGCCACCGCTCTCTGCCTGGCTCCCACGCCCAGGCTGGGCTCTCGCTCCAGCCTGTCAGGCTCACAGCAGGCCTGGGTTTGGTTCCGGCCTGGAGGCGCAGTTGGGCTTGAGCAGTTTTAAGGCTCCACACGTGACGGTACTGCTGTTCTCCCTGCTTCCCCAGGGCTCCTCTTCAGCCCTGACACCCCAGGTTCCCACAGCATCGGAGCTGAGAGTCCCCGGCCCACCAGGCCCGCTCTCCCTCCCAGTGCTGGGGACAGACATTACCAATTGATCCCAGCGCTTTCCTGCTGAGCCCAGCCTCCCAGTTCCAGGCAGAGCCAGCCCATCAGAGTCGCCTCTGGGGCCAGCCACAGACACACGTCATTGCAGGGCACTGGCCCTGCCGCCCCAGGGTCTCTTGTGACCTGGGCTGGAGCCAAGCGAAGTTCCCTCGCTAGGGATCTCATGTGGGGCACAAGGAGAAGGAAGGGCTGGTGGCACCGCAGCAACAGCTTTGATGGGTCAGCGGGAGTTTGCTGGATTAAGGAGGGAGGAGATACTCTGGACAGAGTCCAGTCTCAAGGCCTCAGGCAAAAGGCCAGAATATTAGCAGGTGGGAGGGTGGCAGGAGGTGGCAAGAGAGACAGGGCACCTGCAGAACCACCTCGAGCGCTGGGCCTGGGTTTACCCAGAGTGAGGGTGGTTTAGAGGGGAGGTATGGAGCAGGACAGGAAGTGGGGTGCTGGGTGGACTAAGCTGGGGGGCCGAGGCTGGGATCCCTTCGAGGCCCTTCTCTCCTCACCACGCCTCCGTGCCTGCAGGTGTACCCGCCCAGCTCAGGTGATGACTATGGCAGGGACGCCGCCGCCTACCCGTCTGCCAAGACCCCTGGCAGCGCCTACCCCAGCCCCTTCTACATGGCAGGTGCATGGGGGCTCTCCCTACAGCTGGGCAGGGCCTGGGGCCCCCCGGCCCTGCCTCACCATCCCCCTCTCCGCAGACGGCAGCCTGCACCCCTCCGCTGAGCTCTGGAGCCCCACGGGCCAGGCGGGCTTCGGGCCCATGCTGGGCGGGGGCTCGTCCCCCCTGCCTCTCCCGGCAGGCGGCGGCAGCTCTATGGGCAGCGGTGGCAGCAGTGGTGGCACGTTTGGTGGCCTGCATCAGCACGAGCGCATGGTAGGACCATGGGGGCGGGGCGGGGCAGGGTGGTGGCCCGGGGACAGCACTCTCTGACCAATGCTGCTTTCCCCGCCCCCCAGGGCTACCAGCTGCACGGGGCGGAGGTGAACGGGGGGCTCCCAGCCGTGTCCACCTTCTCCTCAGCCCCCGGAGTCGCGTACGGCAGCGTCTCCAGCCACACGCCGCCCGTCAGCGGGGCTGACAGCCTGATGGGTACGGCCCCTGCCTGTCACTAACATCACCCACCCTCCCCTGGGCCCACCCTGCCCACTGGGCATGGGAGGTTTGGAAACAGCTCTCTAAGCAGTCGGTTTTCCCACATTATGTGGGGAAACCGAGGCTCAGAGAAGGGCCTTGTACAGCCAGGGTCCCGTGGCCTGCCTGTCCCCAGCGCCTCAGCCCCAGTGGAGCGGGGTCAAGGCATCAGGGGCAGGGAGCCCTTGGAGTGGGACGTCTGCAGAGTGGCTGGGCGCAGGAGGGAGCTCCCCGTCGGCCAGTGTATCTAAGCTAGGCCATGTTGTCAGAGGGCGGCAGCCCTCAGCTTGGGCCTCACCTCTCTCCTCCCACAGTCTCACGAGGGACCACAGCCGGCAGCTCCGGGGACGCCCTTGGGAAGGCGCTCGCCTCGGTGAGGCTCGGGGCAGGGGTGGGGGGCTGGGCCAAGGGCCATGAGGCCAGCCCCTGACTGCCCGTCTCTCGCCCCGTTGCAGATCTACTCCCCGGATCACTCAAGCAATAATTTCTCCTCCAGCCCCTCTTCCCCCGTGGGCTCCCCACAGGGTCTGGCAGGTCTGTGAGGGGTGCTGGGGCTGGCAGGCGGTGGGGGAGGGAACGGGGAGCCCTAGTGGACCTGTGGCATTTCATGTCACAGAGCCAGGCAGCTGGACAAGACCCCCCTTGGGTGTGTGCTCCCGTGAGCAATTCAGGAAGGCTCCCTGGAGGAGGTAGCCTCCACGTCACTCCTCCAAAGCCACAGTGCGTGGCCAGGCAGTGTAAGGGGCTGGGTGGTGGTGTCTGGGCTGGGTCGCAGCTCGGGCAGAGGCCAGGAGGCAGGGCCCACAGTTCCTGGCGTGTGAACATGGGGACGCTCACATACCAGGCAGATCCTGGGCAGTCCGGAGCCAGTAGGGAGAGGCCAGAGTAGCAGGGCCAGGGCTGCCTGGACTCCAGCCACTGTGCGTGTTGTCATTTGCTCCCTGACAGATATTTATTAGATGCCAACTGTGTGCCCCGTCCCTGGCTCTGGCGAGGGGGGCCGACCCTGTCCCTGCATGGACGTGCCGGGCGGGGGGAGCTGAGTTTCTTTGCCCTTTTGGTCCCCAGGGCAGGTGGGCAGAGCCACCTCCTGGAGCACCTGCTGTGCACCCCTGAGCTATCTTCCCCTTGTGCAGGGGTGGGTTTTGCAGGTGGGGAAACTGAGGCTCAGAGGTGGGGACCTGCCTGGCAGGCTGAGTGCGGCGTTGCCGGTATAGGGCGCCCCCATGTGGCCGTCCTGGGCAGCACAGCTGTTCACTGTTCCTTTTCAGGGACCTGGTGGGTCAGGCTGCGCCTGCCCCGCCTCGTGCACCCTCACTCACGCACCTTCTATGTCTTCCAGGGACGTCGCAGTGGCCCCGCGCAGGAGCCCCTGGTGCCTTATCCCCCAGCTACGACGGGGGTCTCCACGGCCTGGTGAGCAACCCTGCTCTCCCGCGTGCGGCCTGGGGGTCTCGAGACCCGTGGAGTGTGCGCTAGGACGCATGCCCCCTGGGGAGAACCCTTTCAGTTACTTCTCGGGAGCCCCCAGAGCCAGGCCGAACGGGTTTCCCGGGAAGGGGAGGTGGGACCGCCTGCTGCCCGCACACAGAGGGGACGCGTGTGGGGCTGTGTGGGCGTCCCGACGGCCCTCACCGCCGTCTCCCGCAGCAGAACAAGATGGAGGACCACCTGGACGAAGCGATCCATGTGCTCCGCAGCCACGCTGTGGGCACAGCTGGAGACATGCACGGACTGATGCCCGGCCACGGCGCGCTGGCCTCTGGCTTCGCAGGCCCCATGCCGATCGGCGGGCGGCACGCCGGTCTGGTAAGCACCGGGCGAGGCAGGTCGGGGCGGAGGTAGGCGGGGGCCCTAGCCCAGGCCTGACGAGCCCCCTCCCGACACCCGCAGGTTGGAGGCGGCCACTCGGAGGACAGCCTCGCGGGCAGCGCCAGCCTCCTGCACAACCACGCGGCACTGCCCAGCCAGCCCGGGGCCCTCCCCGACCTCTCTCGGCCACCTGACTCCTACAGCGGTAAGCCCTCGGCACAGGATTCTGACCCCTGGTTCCAGCTGGAGAAACTGAGGCACAGTGGGAGTCCGACTGGGATTCCCAGTCACAGGATGTCACCCCGTCCTTCAGCCTTTCAGGGGCCCCACGAGGGCAAGGCCTGGGACACTGGTCCCAGCAGAGCAGGGCACAGAGTGGGGGCATCCCACCCACCTTGTTGGTGAAGAATCTGGGGGTAGGACATGGGGACAGGTGCCGTCACCGTGGAGGGGCGCTCCTGGAACATGGTGCCTGGTTAGCTCCTCTGGGAGGGACCAGCACGTCTGGCCTTGGCCTCTGAGTGGGTGATGGTGGTGGCTTCCAGGCCACTGCCCGTTGGTTCTCAAGTTGAGATTATCCAACAGGCACACGTGGAGCATCCGCCATGTGTCTGGTGCCATCCTTGTGCTGAGGAACAAGGGAGTGAAGCAGAGCACAGGCCTCCCTTGGAGGCAGTGAGCTCAGCACACAGGACAAGTGTAGGACACCGGGCAGGGGCGTTAGGAGCTTTTGCTCACTTTAAATAGGTAGTCCAGAGGCAAGAAGGTGGCCTGTGAGCAGAGCCTAGGAGGAGGCGGGAGGAAGCAGGAACCTGGGGGAAGGGTGTCCAGGCAGGGGAACAGCTTGTGCAAAGGCCCTGGGACAGGGTGGGCCTGGCGTGTTGGAAGAATAGCGAGGAGGCCTGTGTGGCCAGACGAGAGTGAGGCGGGGGAGAGAGGGAAAAGAGGGTGAGGAGGGGACAGGGCAGGCACACAGGGCCTGGTGGGCCTGGGAGAGGACTTGGGCTTTGGCCCTGGGGGAGGTGGGAGCCATGGCGGGCTGTGGGCAGAGGAGGGATGGTCCCTGACTTGGGTGCTCACAGGCGCCCTCTGGTGGCTGCTGTGGAGAGGATGTGCTGTGTGGGGCACAGGTGGGATCCAAGGTCCAGGACAGATAAGGACCTGCCCGACGGGGGCCACTTGGGGGGTGAAGAGTGGGTGGGTTCTGGGTGTTGTGAAGGTGGAGCCCACAGGGTCTGCATGCGGACAGGACGTGGGCGGGGAGGGGGTGAGGACAGTGCTGGGATGCCCAGTAAGGAAGGGGACGGGTGGGACAGTCCTGGGGCTTGCTAACCACCCAGCACACCCATGACTTGTGGAAGAGAAAGTTGGGTTATTGTGGGCCCCATCCTAGCCCCAGGGCCCTCCACCCCCAAAACCCAGCCTGATTTTTCAAATTAGCCCTTTCCTGAGGTTTTGTGCGTGTGTGTGCATGTGTGCGTGCTTGCCAAAGCCACGGTGCTGTTGGATTCCCTGACTTTCTAGATTTTATCAGCCCCAGTGCAGTGTCTCATCCTAGGCAGTTCTGCCCCCACAAGGACATTGGCCATGTCTGGGGACATACGTGGTTGACACTGGGGGTGTTCTTGGCATGGGGTGGGTGGAGGCAGGGACGCCCTTCCCTAGAGAACCATCTGGCCCCAGTGTCCACAGTGCCGGGGGAGAGACCATGACATTAGCGTTTTGTTGTGTTTTTTATAGAGATGGGGTCTGACTACATTGCCCAGGCTGGTCTCGAACACCTGGGCTCAAACAATCTTCCCACCTCAGCCTCCCAAAGTGCTGGGATTACAGTCATGAGCCACCAAGCCCAGTCTTGCTTGGTGTTATCTTTTGGTTGTCAGAAATTCTCAAATTTTATATCGTCGAATGTATTGGTTTGTTTCTTCTTTAGAAAACAGCTCCTTTAGCCTTTGCTTCAGGGGCATGCAGACTGAAATAAGAATGATACGGAGATTGGCAGAGCACCTGGGGAAGGGTGGCATGGAAATTTGTGAAGCTGTCCATATTTTTAAATAAATGATTTAACCAATTTTCTGCCCCCCGAAAGAAAACAGCTCATTTAATACTTTAAGAAAAAGTTCTGGCTGGGCACAGTGGCTCATGCCAGTAATCCCAGCACTTTGGGGAGGCTGAGGCCAGGAGTTCACAGCTGCAGTGAGCTCTGATGACATCAATGCACTCCAGCCTGGGTGACGGTGGGACCCTGTCTCACGAAAACAAAAAACAAAAATAGACAAAGAAAAGGCTGCCTGCCACAGAGTTGCAACAGAATTCTGGGTCCTTCATTCTAAAGGTTGTAACATTTTGCCTTTCACCTTCCAGTCCTTAATCTGTCTGGAATTGGTGCTGTGTATGGCGTGAGGTAGGGATCCCTTTCTGGCTGTGTTTGGGTTTTTTGTTTTGTTTTGTTTTTGGCAAATGAAGAACTGGTTGCCCCAGGAGAGCTTGTGCCCTTCGTGAGAGGGTCAAAGAGGGATTTGTCAGGTGGCCTCGGAGGCCGGCCAAAGCCCCTGACCCAGGCCTGTTGCAGGGCTCGGGCGCGCTGGCGCAGCAGGCGGCGCCAGTGAGATCAAGCGGGAGGAGAAGGAGGATGAGGAGAACACGTCGGTGGCCGACAACTCGGAAGAGGACAAGAAGGAGCTGAAGGCCCCCCGGACGCGGACCAGGTGCCAGCTCCTCCTCGGCCCCGCCCACCCCCCACCCCCACCCCGGCAGGTCGCACACACACACTCGCACACGCACACACGCCCGCGCCGGGAGGCCGTGGCGGGCCCCCCGCCCGTCCCCCACCTCACTGTCTCCCTCTGGCCCCTCCCGGCCCCTCCCCCATAGCCCAGACGAGGACGAGGACGACCTTCTCCCCCCAGAGCAGAAGGCCGAGCGGGAGAAGGAGCGCCGGGTGGCCAATAACGCCCGCGAGCGGCTGCGGGTGCGCGACATCAATGAGGCGTTTAAGGAGCTGGGGCGCATGTGCCAGCTGCACCTCAACAGTGAGAAGCCCCAGACCAAACTGCTCATCCTGCACCAGGCCGTGTCGGTCATCCTGAACTTGGAGCAGCAAGTGCGAGGTCAGTGGGGGCGCGGGCCACCAGCCGTCCCCGCAGTGCGCCACTTTCCCGCCGCTCCTGCCCTGCTGTCTGCCCCCACCCGCCCTCGTCCTGCAGTGACGTCCCCTCGCCTGGCTGCCTCCACGTCCCCCTCTGGGGTGGAGGACCAGCCTCTCTCTGCACCCCAGCCTTGCAGACCTGGGCCCTTTGGCTCAGAACCATGTTCCCAGACCGCAGCAGCCCCCATGCGCCCCGGCACTTCCTTCCCAGGAAGCCCAGAGCCCGGGGCATGGAGCCGGCGCCCCGAGCCCAGAGACTGTTCACCTTGAGCAGGTGCCACATGGGGCCCGCATGAGCTTGTCCTGCCCTCTGACTCAGTTTCCCCGTCTGTGGGTGGGGTTGGCCCCCCCAAATGTGACTTGGCTCCCTCCTCCCCTCCCGCTGGCAGCTGCTTCCTTAACTCCTCCCCGTCCTGCGCCGTTAACCCTTTCTCTCCTGCAGCGCTGTTGCTTGGACCGGAGCCCGAGCCCCGGCCTGCCCCACCCGCTGTCCCTCAGCTCTGAGGCCTTTGCGTCTGCACAGCAGTGTGTGTGTCCTGCCTGTGTCCCCGCCTCTCTCCTCTCTGCCTCTTGCCTGTCCCCCGCCCCGTCCGTCCCTGCTGCTTCCCTGGCGGCCCTCCCTCACCTCGCACTTGCTGCCCGACGCCGGGACTGGCCGGGGCCGCGCCCTCGGGGACCTCCTCCCCCAAAGCCCCCAGTGGGGATTTGAGGGAAGAAAAGAGACCCAGGGAACATGCCGGCCTCCAGTCCCACTGTCAGTTTGGTCTGCGCGCTTGTCCTGGGCTCCAGAGGCCACCGCCGCTGCTACCCAAGGGGCAGGGCAGGCAGGTGAGGTGAGGGCAGCTCCGTCCGTGGAGGAGCAGGACAGGCCGTGGGCCAAGCCTCGCCGCTGTCTTATCTTGGCGCCACCCGGAGTGCGGGGGGCGATGGCAGTTAGCGTTTATGCTGAGGAGAAAACTTGTCCAGGGCGGAGTCACTTGTGCAGAGCCCATGGCTACAAGGGCCGAGCCAGGATTTGCAGGGCACGGAAAAGGGTCTCAGCATTGTGCCTGGCGCAGGCTGCATGGCAGCCGCCCTGGGGACCGTCCACCGAGGACACAGCGGCTGCCTTCCTGGAGGCCTTAGGGCACGAGTGCTCCGCCCAGGCAGGTGGGGGGGCACGTGGAGGCCTGGGGCCCGCCGGGGCAACCAGCGGTCACTGTGAGGAACAGACGCTTTCCTGAGGCCCCCGAAAGCATGGGGGTCTCGCAGGGTGTGAGCGGGTACGCCCTGTGGGTGCCGACTCCGAGTCCCGGACTCCCCAGTCCTGGGCTTGGGGGCCAGGCCTTCTTGGCACCCCTGACGGCGCTTCAGCCAGGCCTAGCTCTGTCACCCAGCAGGCGCCGCTCTGAGTGGGGAAGGTCGTCTCCTCGGGAAGGAGGAACAGGGGTGGGGCGCTGGGCCTCTCTTGCTCCCCAGCCCGCCCCAGGCCCGTGGCGTGAGCTCAGGGCAAGGGGACCAGCCCCCCCAGATTTCCAGATGCAGAAACCTAGGCCTTCCCTCCCTCTGCACACGTCCCGGGAGCAGTCAGGCATCGGCCCGTCCTGGGCACGACCGTGTACACCGCCTTCCCTAGAGCTGGTGCGTGCCTGTGCACGTGGGCAGCCGCTCGACACGCAGGCGAGCACGGCAGTCTCCACTTGACGGGGGACGCGTCCCCTGTGCACACGATGAGCACAGTTTCATGGATTTGAGCACACGAACAGCAAATGCACCGACACCGCCACCCACAGCGACACCAGCTGTGTACACGCACCGCCACCCACAGCGACACCAGCTGTGTACACGCACCACGGCCCACACTGACACCAGCTGTGTACACGCACTGCCACCCACACCGGCACCAGCTGAGTACACGCACTGCCACCAACACCAGCTGTGTACACGCACCGCCACCCACAGTGACACCAGCTGTGTACACGCACTGCCACCCACACCAGCTGTGTACACGCACCGCCACCAATACCAGCTGTGTACACGCACCGCCACCAATACCAGCTGTGTACACGCACCGCCACCCACACCAGCACCAGCTGTGTACACGCACCGCGGCCTACACCGGCACCAGCTGTGTACACTCGCCTCGACCCACACCGACACCAGCTGTGTACACGTGCCCACAGCGCTGTGACTCACACTGACACCAGCTGAGTACACGCGCCACCACCCACACCGGCATCAGCTGTGTACACGCGCTACCACCCACACTGGTACCAGCTGAGTACATGCACTGCCACCTGTACCAACACCAGCCATGTGCCCACACTGCCACCCACACCAGCCGTATGCCCCCGCTGCCACCCACACCGACACCAGCTGTGTACACGCGCCTCGACCCACACTGGCACCAGCTGTGTACACACGCCCACAGCGCTGTGACTCACACCGACACCAGCTGAGTACACGCACCACCACCCACACCGGCACCAGCTGTGTACACGCGCTACCACCCACACTGGTACCAGCTGAGTACATGCACTGCCACCCGTACCGACACCAGCCATGTGCCCACACTGCCACCCACACCAGCCGTATGCCCGCGCTGCCACCCACACTGACACCAGCTGTGTGCCTGAGCTGCCACCCACACTGACACCAGCTGTATACACGCGCTGCTACCCACACTGACACCAGCTGTGTGCTTGAGCTGCCACCCACACCAGCACAAACACAGCCTGCCGATCCCCTCCTTACAGCCTGTCCCCACCCTCCCGCCCACCCCTGGCCCGTCACTAACTGAGGCCCCGTGCTGTGACCCAGCAGTACAGAGGAGGTGCTGTCCCTGGAGGAGAAAGACCTGAGGGACCGGGAGAGGCGCATGGCCAATAACGCACGGGAGCGGGTGCGCGTGCGTGATATTAACGAGGCCTTCCGGGAGCTGGGGCGCATGTGCCAGCTGCACCTCAAGTCGGACAAAGCGCAGACCAAACTGCTCATCCTGCAGCAGGCCGTGCAGGTCATCTTGGGCCTGGAGCAGCAGGTGCGAGGTAGGCTTCCGGGCCAGGGCCCCAGGTGGCCGTCCCCCGCCCCGCCGCGCGCTCTGCTGGGACACCTGTGTGCACGGGCTTCTGGTCTCTGTCCACATCTCCTAGTGGCTGGATTCAGACTCTGTGACGTCCCCCAGACACCCTTGGACACTTAGGTCTCACTGCAACACCCCACACACTCCAGGGCCTTCTCTGGGAAGGAGATGACGTGAGAAACGGAGGGACCATGAGTGAAGGGCCCTTGTCCCCAGCCTCCCCCCACACTGCCACCGCTCGTGTTTCTCTGGGGACCCTCCCCCACGGTGCTCTCCCCTCCCTCCCAGAGCGTAACCTGAACCCCAAAGCTGCCTGCCTGAAGCGGCGAGAAGAGGAGAAGGTGTCCGGTGTGGTCGGAGACCCCCAGATGGTGCTTTCCGCTGCCCACCCTGGCCTGAGCGAGGCCCACAACCCCGCCGGGCACATGTGAAAGGTACGCCGTCGTGGGACAAGTGACCCGGCCTGGGCCTGCGTCCTGGGCTCAGGTCTGACCCGGAACAGTCAACACCGGGTGCCGGGTGTTCGGCCGCTCAGTGGGCTGGACGGGCCGTGCCTGACACACACCCGTCGCCAGCGTTGAGCCAACGACTGACCCACCGAGGTTCCAAGTGACGGGGGCTGCGCAGGTGATACCAGGTCGGGGAGCTGCCTGGCTCCTCAGCCCACCGCCACTGGCCTCCACCCCCTGCCCCTCGTCTTGGCCACTGTGATGCCCTGACGTGCCCCCTGACCCCCAAACTGTGTCTGGGTCCCGTCGCCTGGGCCGAAAACAGCATTTTGGGGTGGGGGCAGGGAACAAAACCGAAAGCAAGCAACAAAATATACACTTTGTCAGAGAAGAAAGAAAATGCCTTAACTCTAAAACGAGAGCCGAAACATATCACTCGAGGGAGACGCTGTGCAAACGCGGCTTGTTCTTCTGAAGCCGCCAGCAAATCGTGCCTAAGCCTATTTTTTTTTTAAGGAAAATAAAAAGAACATTAGTTATGAGATTTTTTTTTTCTTCCTTAATGTAGAAGAGAACTAGTAAGGATGGTCTTGGTCTATCTTTTGTTTTTTTTTTTAAAGCTTTTTTGGCATATGTTTTGTAAGCAACAAATTTTTTTGTATAAAAGTCTCGTGTCTCTTGCTATTTCTGCTGCTGTTTCTAGAAATGAGTTTTGCATTTCATGATCAACCAGATTATTAAAAGTTGCATTAAAAAGACCCAATGTAAACCTGAGGTCCCCGCACCTCTCCGCTCCGGAGGCCACTGCACACAGCGCAGGGATGGGCAGGCGTGTTGTCACGTGTTCTGTTACTTGAGTGTTGGGGGTTTTCTTGGTGTTGCTGTGAGTGCCATGGATGGGGCTGCCCCGACTGTCCTCTGCCCTACTCAGGGAGGGGACAGGCCTCTGCTGTTCCTCGCCTTGTGGGGAAGGGACTTCTGCAAGGAGGGGACGTTCCTCCCAGGTGAAGCTGCTCCCCCAGGCACTTTCCCCCTCCCCACCAGCTGCCTTCCCTGGGACTCCCTGCACTCCTCTCCAAAATGGGGTATTTTGTTGGGACCAATGATCCCTGACATGCTGGGGGCCTCCCCGGACCTTCACCTTTCATTCCTTCCACCCAGGGACCCAAGCTTTTTCTCTGGACTCAAGCAGGGGGGCTGCATCTTAGGGGCCAGCACAGGACACACCCCACCCCAGGGAGGACTCCTGGGTCTGGGGCCATGCCTGCCACCCTTCCATGCAGGGCCTGGGCTGGGAATGGCTGGAACAGGGAGGGGACCAGGGTCCTGGGGCCCCATAAAGGCCCCCCAGGCCTCCCATCTGTCCTAGCTGCAAAACCAAGAGCTGGGCCACCCTGGGGCCATCTGTTCTGTGTCCCCAGCACCCAGGCCTCTTTCCAAACCTTTTGTGGTCTCACGTCCTGAGAAGAACAAACTTGTCCCAGGCCCACCAGGGTCATCATCGCTGTGTCACCCAGGTGTGGGATCAGATCTGCCGGGTGCCTTCATCTTCCTTTCCCCCACATAGAGGCCTTATGGACCCCAGGCTGGCTGTGTTCACCCGCCAGTAGCTGAGACATCTGCTCCCAGGAGAGCCAGGGCTGCCTGACTTCCCTTCCCCACCTGTGGCCCCACGGGAGCTTCAAGGAGAGCCCAAGGCTAGCTCTAGGTGGGCCAATCCCACGGCCTGGGGGCTGCCACCTGACCTCTGGTGTCCTATGGGGTCTGCCGAGGATGGGCAGGCACAGGGCAGAGCTGTCCAGACTGGGAGCTGATTCACCTTCTGTGGCCATTTCTCCCAACCAGGTCTTTGTGGGTTTTGTCTCCTGGAGAACCTGCCTCTGTTTCCCTCTTGGTTCTGGTCCTGCCCATACATCCAGACGGGCAGCGGCTGAGAAGCCACCATGTCCCCCCAAGGCCCCGTAGACTCTGGAACTGTGTATTATATACATAATTTAAGTTATATATATGTAATAAGATTAACCCAGCATAAAAAGGAAGAAAACGTAGCAGGTGGGCAGCGGGAAGAACCGCAGTTGCTGGGGGAAATTGTTCTCTGAGTGCCTCAAGATAACTGGTTTTCAAAACAAAGTTTTGTGGGTTTTTTTTTGTTTTTTTTTTTAAGAAAAATAATTTTATACATGTCAACACAACTGGCTGGATTATTTGGGATTTTTAAACGATCCTCTCTGAAGTCGATTTGGAGACCTGTATATAACAGCAGTGTAGCAATAAATGTGACATTTTATAACAATACTCAGCTGTCCCCGGAGTCCTTCAGGTGTTGGGTGCTTATGTGTCAATGGGGGGAGAAATCTGAGGTTTGACACCCGTGTCATGGGGTGCAGCCCACAAGGGGGCCGGAGGTGCATGCACCTGTACTGTTTGCAGCATTTTCCAACTCGGGAACTTCTGGGTGCACAGCTCTGCGGGGGAGGCCAGGAACCTGCACTTGGAACAAGGGCCCCAGGGGATCTGGAAGCAGGATTGACTCCTGGGGAAAAGCCCCTCCCTGGGGTGCTGCACTTTGTGGGACAGTCCTGAGTGTGGGGATGATCTGGACCCTTCGTCCTCCCACCCCCAGGGCTCGAGAACTCCCCACATCTGCCCTGGGCAGGTTGAACTGGCTTCTCACTGGCCTCCCTGTCTCCAGCCCTGCTGCCCAAGTCTGCTTGTGTCATTGTCTGTTCCTGTGGTGGCAACTATAGGCTCCTGAGTGGGACATTTGAAATGACCCCCAACAATCAGATCCCTGCGAATCATGGGCACAGCTCCCCAGGGAGAAGGGAATGTAGCACTTCTGGCCTCCACCCACTCCATGCCAGGAGCACTCCCAACCCAGTCATGACAACACAGATGGCCCCCAACATCACCAAGTGTCCCTAGGGCCACAAGGCCACCAGCAAGAGCCAGCTGAGGGAACTCCATCCGTTTCTTCTGTGAATAAATTGCAAGGAAAATTAAAGAGTGGGGAAGTCAGTGGAAAGAGATTCAAGAGATGTTATCAATCTCTTGAGATGATATCAAGAGATATTTTGAGATGTTATCAAGCCCAGAAAGTGGATTCTGGGCTTTCCCTGGTTTGGTGTCAAAGCATAAAGACAAATTATGACTTTGGACACTGGAGAATACAAGCATTGAGTACTTGATTTCAAACAATTATTTTTAGAACTGCTTAGGTTCGGTAATGGAATTGTAGCTGTTTTCCTTTTATAAAAAACACTCTTTTGGCCGGGCACAGTGACTACTTAGCAATGAAACTCATGTTGGGGTTTGCTCTGCAGTAATCAGGAAATAACAAGGTGGGGACCGGGGAAGAGGCCTAGCCCTGCACGGAGGGTCGAGGAAGCTGCCTTTGACACCCCATTCTGTTTTGTTTCAATAGTGAAAATATATTTTGGCAACAACCCAAGTGTCCATCAACAGATGGATGGGTAAACAAACGTGCTCCGTCCACACACTGGAATATCAGCCATGAAAAGGGACGAGGCTCTGACATAGGTTACGATGTGGAGGGACCCTGAAGACATCATGCTCAGTGATAGACACCAGAAACAACAAAGTTGGAGAGAGATTTGTAATGACATTCCAGCAGCGCGGTGGTGAGAACCCAGGACGCCTCCCAAAGAGGTTTAAGTCCCAGCCCTTCCCTTTTGTGCGCCTCTGGGCAAATACCTTCCCTGTCGGATCGCAGCTTCCTTCCTTATAAATAAAGTCCTGGCACATACTAGGGGTAAACAGTCACCAGCCGAGTATTTTGGCTGGACTGAGTTACAGACAGCCCTGCCGCCAGGGGCCCACTCGTACCGCTTGACACAGAGACGATGCTCCGTGGTCCACAGATCATGTGACCGGCCGGTCCCGCCCACTCCAAGACTGCCCTCCCCGGAAGCGACTGTAATGAGTTTCCGAGTGTGCGCGCGCAGAGGCCGCGGCGGCTCCAGGCAAGCCGGGGCGGGGCTCCCTGTGCGCGTGCGCCATGCGCTCGCGCCTGCGCAATGCGGCCGAACAGACCTGACTGGGTCACCCTGAGGGTGCGGACGGCGCCGCGATGCTGACCAGGTTCCTGGGCCCGCGCTACCGGGAGCTGGCGAAGAACTGGTGAGGACGTCGCCCCCGCCGCTCCCGCCGGCTGCTGCCTAGGGCTGGGTTGGGGTCCTCTGTTGCGACCGGTGACAGAGGAAGAAACAGACCCAGAGTGGTTGGCGGTGTGTCCCGGGGCGCGCGGGACGCGGCGGTTTCGAGGCCAAAGCCCAGCATCCCCGGCGCCGTGGTTGAGTCGCCCGGAGCCTCAGTTTCCCCGTCTCTACCCGGGGATCCCAGCGGTGCCCACCTGGACCGAGTCGCCCGGAAGGTGCGCAGCTCTGCTGCCTGCGGACGCCCACCTGTGCCCGGCGCCCTCGGCTCAGGTGTTTGGGCCTGAAACTAAACCTCTAAGCCTCTGGCTTTGCTTTTATTGTTATTTTTAAGTGATTTTTGCCAAGGAGCGTGAAACCTGTGGCTGCACCTGCTCGCGGGCGGCGGGACAGGGTTGGGGAGGTCTCCGGGGGCAGGCGCTGTCCGGTGTCCCCACGTGGCATGCTAAGAAACAAGGGCTTGTGCCTGGCGACGTGTCCCCGCGCTGGAACACGCTCCTCCATCCCGGACAGAGAGGCAGAAGTGGGGACTGGGGGTGGGGGCTCTGGAGGTGACGAGGACCTTCAGGTGGAGTGCGATGGTGGCATTTTACAGCGTGGGTGACTCCGGACTGGGACGAGAACATAGCGGCTGGCGGCAGTCAGTGCTGCCTCTCCCAGGTGCAGTGGGTCCACTCCCATCTGTGCCTGGTAAGTGCAGTGACCCGCCCCCATCCCTGATTTCATTCAGTCAGCAAGCATTTATCGAGCACCCACTGTGTGCTCGACACGCAGCAATAAACAGAATCCTGTGGGCTGACACTGTAGTTGCAAGACAAAGTAGACAGTGAGATCTGTAGGGTGTGGCTGGCCTGAATTAATAAAGTAGGGGACGCGGGTGCAGCCCTGTCTATCCTACCAGACCATGGCTTTGGTAGACCAGGAAGCAGGTTTCAGTCCCCTTCCCCGGGGCACTGTGGGGTTGTGTCTCAGACTCAGGGATCTGAGGGTCCCTGCTCACCGGGTACCCCACAGGTCATAGCTTCTCTGGGCCCTGGTGTCTTGGGCTGAGAAAGGGGAGACTAGGTGCTTCGGATGATCAGTGCCTGGTGGAGGTCAGGTTTGGCTGGGGCAGGTCAGTTTCCAAGCTCATTGACATGGTTGTTGGTGCGATTTGGTTCCCTGGTGGTTGTTGGCTGGGGGCTGTTCTCCGTTCTCTGCCAAATGGGCCCCTCTGTAGCACAGGTTACAGTGTGGCAGTGACAGCTGGCTTCTCACAAAGCAAGTGAGAGGGCACAACAGGGCACCCAGGATGGAAATACAGTCTTTTTATAACCTAATCTCAGAAGTGACACCCATCACTTCTGCTGCGTTCTGCACACCAGAAGCA